TCAAATTTTGTCATTTTTTTTTCATGCTCCATTTAACTCATATGAAATGCTGAATGAAAATTTCCATTAACAAAATACAAAAAAGTCCTGAGAAAGTAGGCCTTTACCCGGCAACAAAGTAGATATTGTGAGTAGAGAACTTTTTCCTCCTTAATAAGTAATGAAACATATCCATTTCTCATTAGGAAAACATGTACAGGAAATTTCAATTTCCAGTTTAAAAATTACAACAATAAATGTCTTAATTATACCCGAAAACAAAAATACTTCCCAAATTGATTTACATTTATTACATAAAATTAGCAAAACATTTCTTTCATTCATTGAAAATGCCATTTAGGCAGGCAGGGTTTTTTATGAACATTCTGCGAGCATTCAAGCATACTTAAACATTGTACGCCATTATATAAACAATGGCATTAACGTAGGATCAAAAATGATTTAAATTTACATTAAATACCTAATTCATAATAATCAATGTCACTGTGATTAAGACAGATTTTATTTTAAATGCGACATTTTCAATATATACTTTCTCCTTGAATGATATATTTGTATTTTTCTCAGTAGCAATTAATCTTCTGATTTCTCCAGATTTAGATGGATTTAATAACGAAAGATCACTCCCTTTCCTTGCGATAAAATGACACCAGCAACACAAAAATTGTTATCAACAGCCATCTGAGAAAACCTTCTCACTGATTTTCATTATCACATCTCTAAAATCATCCCTTATCTCCTCTCCCTTCACAGGTATATGATTTCCTTGGGCTCCGAAAATGAAAATAAAAATACATGACACAAAATTCTCTTCAGAAAAACATTGACAATAGTAAAAAGGTTGGAAATCAAGATCTTTAAAGTGATCGTAACACAAGATGACAGCATACAAGCCATTTTAAAATATGAGAAATTTGTGTTGATTTTACACATCTTCAGATATGTTGCCTGTTATACACAGAATCATGGGTGGCAGGGCATGCGTTAGTTCTGATTTTATGAGAAAATTTGTGACGCGTTTTATGTAGAATTCTATTGACAATGAAGGGGTGAGTTTACCAAGAATCTGAGTGACACATTCACTAGATCACCTGAAGGCATTCTCTTGGATAAGCACGTGTGATTTTTCAAAAAAAGAAATGTAATCTTCGCCTCATTCATGCATGCATATGTTTATAGAGAACGACTTCGCCAGATATCATCTGACTTTTATATAACTCGTTAGATAAGGCAGATTTTTTTTTTTTGCTAAAAATAGGTGAGTACAGTTTCCTATCATTAAAATTTGTGATGTGAAATCTCATTACCTGTTCTACTGCTATTTAAATTCAATTTTTATTAAGAAGGAATTTCAAGCATTATTTCTCTCTGAAATATGAAAGAATTGTAAATAAATTGTGCCACATCTGGAGGAAGGAAGGTGGTAATCTTGTTTGTCTGTCAAGATTTAAATCTTTATCTCTAGATATCTTAAGTTTTTACTATTTTATTAAATACCACTCTTTCATATGAAAATTAATTTATTAATTTAATTCTAATGCAAAATATCAAGGAAAATTTCTAACTTGTCATAAATATTCTATAAACATCATTGAATTTCTGTAGTTTGTTATGTTTATTGTTGGTCATATTAATTAATGATATTTATTACAGGAAGACATCTACAACACAATCATTCAGAGGTGTCCATTTCACTGTCATAAAGTGTGTAGAAAAGGTACCAGCGACCTTTGTGAACTACTCTGTTGATGGCCCTCCCCTTCATTTGTAGGTCGGAAGGAGGGCGTGGCAATAGGAGGAGGGGGCACCCTGACCTGCCTCTGAATCCAACCCCAGATCTAACTGAAATAATTGGCCATCTCACACGCTTCACCTGACTCTTTGTGTTTCAATTTACATCGGCTTCAATACAGGGGTATTTAAAAAGCAAACGGTAGATACACAGGCTTTCAGAAATTATTCCACAAGTTTGAGGTTCATTACACTTTAATTCTGAGCACATTTCAAAAGGGAAATGAGAGGTAAAATGTTCCCCATGTGAGCCCATTTTATGGCTAATCACGGCAGACCCTGCCTCTACAACTATCTTGCCTTTCTGAAAGAGAGAGTCACCCAGTCGACAAAGTCAGAGGGTAGATTCTTACCCAGAGGCAATTTTTGTATAATTAGCTCAACAGACCGGAACAGGTTATTCAAAATACACATAATAGGCCTCTCTCTAGCCAAGGCTTCTAACAATGTAGACTTTGGCTTTACAATCAGGCTCGATTATGACGGGAGTGTTAGGCAAAATGATTGTGGTCGATGTGATGACGTCCTTGGGCTGGTCCTGGCAGGGCAACTGACCGAGAGAGTGACCAAAGTCAGACAGACACAGATGGACAAGACATCAAAGTAAATGACATTTGTTATTTTAATCCAAAAGATCTTGAAGCTGTAGACGTATCACATCATATACGGTCCAAGTCATCTATTCTGTGCTGAAACACTTAGGAGTCTGTACACAGGTTGTTACCTGAATGGATTTCTCATTCCCTGGTCTCTAGAATGTCCTGTTAATTGTCCCCTTCATCCCTATTCACCGTAATGTCCAGCTAACTTTCCCTTCATCCCTAGTCACTATAAAGTCCAGCTAACTTTCCCTTCATCCCTAGTCACTATAAAGTCCAGCTAACTTTCCCTTCATCCCTAGTCACTATAAAGTCCAGCTAACTTTCCCTCCTATCCCTGGCCACTATAATGTCCAGCTAACTTTCCCTCCTATCCCTGGCCACTATCATGTCAAGTTAATCTTCCCTCCATATCTGGTCACTAAAAAATCCAGTTAATTTTCCTCCTATACCTAGTAACTAGCTTTATAATGACCACTGGTCATTAAAACCATTTCTCTGATCTCTGTAGCTACAGGTTGTCCATTCCACCACTCTCTCCTTGGTCAGTAGATGCCCAGTCCCCCACTCTGTCCTGGTTCCTAGATGTCCAGGTGAGATACTCCTGTACTCTCTAACACCAAGAATTCCTAACTTACTCTACCATTAAATAGGGTCAAACCATTAAGTAATGCGTGTAGCTTGCTGAAGGCTATATTGTTGAGATTTTTTTCTCTCGTTTTTGTGTAATTGCCTATAATTTCATAATCATTAAGACATTTCTGTGTCAGAATCGTTTACATCAATACTCCGCCTTCAACATACACCGTCAACAGACCAACGTTCTGGACCAGCCCGACAGCATGCCAGTTAATCAGCATGAAAAGGCCTTTTATTTTCTATTGAACATTCAATAGTTTAAAAAAACACCATACAATTGAACTTTCCGGTATAGTCTCATTTCCAAAGGTGCTATAATACTGGCTTGTGATTAAATAGATTGATATGGGTGTCATTTTTGGAGCCGTTCAATTATCAAAACGCAAAGTTTCAAAACCTAGATTGTATCTTGAAACTTGATATTACGCAGTTGCATAATTCTTTCTCTTTTATCGGATTTTAAATTTTATTTTAAACTTATGCTAGTTAGATAGACAATGGTTGGTACCACTAGATACCGTTTTCACTGAGTGTAATTGTAAGAGGAGGTCGAGACAGTACCAAGTACGCATAAATACGGATCACGGCATTTTAAACACTTTTTCATTAACACCCCATTCAGTCGAGGAGTTTTTATAAAAATTGTTGACATTGATCATAAAGAAAGCCACAGACTGATCACCTAGCTTCATGCTAGCCCAACGCAAACTGCTATGATCCTAACTGGGGCTAGTTTGATAATGAAATTCCCTGCCTATGTCCTTACAAAAACACCTTTGTTTAATCCAATTTCTAATAAGCACAATCGCAATCTTGTTCGATGAATTCCTTTTTTAAGACATACAGTTTAAAAAAAATATTCTTCTATATAAATCAAATTCTTCCTTTGTGCCATCTTTTTTTTCACAGGAGAGAGACCAATATTATTAGAAACAAAACATACTGAACAATTTCAACCAGAATTTTTTTCATTTTTGAAATGTTTCATTCTATTTGGGCTGACACTCTGGGTTTAAAATATGTTTTCATTTATGCCACCTGGCACTAAAGTCTGTTCTTTGTCAAATGTCACGTTCTATTCCTTTGCATTTTTTTTTTGCCAAATGAAATGAACTAAAATTTTGACATTTCCGAATCAGAATGATGGGGTATATATATTTGAATTGCTTCCGTCAACACTAGGGGGCACTGTGAGAGACTGGAGGAAGCGGCATGTTGTTCTGAAAACACAGCAATTTCATGCAACACCTAAATTGTAACGGTGGGTTGGAGCTTAGGACAATACATCACACTAACACAACAAACATACCAGGGAGCTCTTCTCTCACATGTCAAAACCATCACAATGTTGAACATAGCTTGAACATCTTCCAGAATTTATGTGAGCACACAGAGTTTACTCTCCTCCATTTCTCTCCTGACACTGGAGAGTGGTTTTCCCTACCCAATACATCAACACCCTACACACAACTCCCTGGTGCTTTTGCCTGAAGTCTTGCAGGAAACCTATGGAATACGTCAACACCCTGCAAACCAGCCCCTCTTTATTCTTGTTTCAGGGTTGGATAAGATTTTACTCTTTATTCCTAAATCTTCCTCACATCCACCACAACCTTCCACACCAGTAAAACAGATGGATAATGCCATGTAACAAACAGTCTTTCTTGTGGGTTACTGGTCAACCCTAAACTGACCTGTTGTCTAACGCCATAGATAAGGGGACATAACTGCTGCTGATGCTGCAGGTTTTCTATGAGAATGTCCACACCAAGTTCCCAATGTTTGCCAATGTTTATAAGGTGCTAACACCCTAAATCACTGGTTTTAATGAACAAATTGTATTGATAAATCTCATGTTGCGGTTGAAAATTTTGTTTGATAACTGTTCTGGTGATTTTTCAAGTTAATTTTTTTCGTGTTATTTTTTGTGTATTTTTAATGTCTATGTTGATAATATTGAAATCTACTCACCAATTATTGACTTGTAATATTGTTAATCCCGTGTCTTGAGCTAACTGTTTCTTTTGTTCCTCTGATGGGTATGGGTGCTGTCAACAAAAACAAACTATGTAAATACAATGTCAAAAACATATCAACAAAATATCTTTACCTACATACAGAGAAAGTAAACAACTCTGTGCTGTTTAGAGGGTCACTTTATTCTGTAGGATCTACAAGACAATTACCCTTGTACAATCATTTTACACTGAAACATTGTGGAGCATCTGGTCTTTTTTCAAGTCTCTGTAAATCTTTCTATTGTTTTTATTTTGTTTGTAAGCCTGAGTTTGAATTTAGATTCCACTGATACATGAAAATTATCTTTGTTATTGAAGTCAAAAAATTAAATTTCAAATAAAACAAACATTTCACTGAGAAATCTAATATTTTCTGTATGAATTAATTTTAGATGCAGTATTCATATAAGTTATAACAAATAACATTATAAACTAAGATTTTTTTTACAGACATCACTTATGGACAAGAAAACAGCATGACAGAAAAAAACAAAATGTTTGCACACAATTTCTCTATGGTATTCAGTTATTCCATAATATACTACCAACTTTTTTTTCTGATAAAACAGAATCATACGTAAACCACATCTACATGGATGTAACGACTTGTATATACTTGTAGTCTACATTTCATTGCTAAACTGTAAAACACACCATAGACTTATATTTCTTTAACAATGACAAAACAGCAGCAAAAAAAAAAAAAAAAAGTAACAAGAATATAAAGGCTATTGCATGTTGTCATGGAGATCAGTGTTTCTGCTGTCAAGACGAGGCTATGTCTCGACAGACACAGAATGTTGAGGCTTTCAGCAAATTTGATAGGCCTCTTATCTGTCCAGTTAGCCTTACAGTTCGGAATATTGAATTAAATGCTCCAGTTTCGATAGTTATTGGTAAATGACGGTGTTCAGGAGCTTTTTCGACCTTGTAATTCAATAAAGTGCCAAATAAAATGTGCAGAATAATAAAAAACATTTTATGTAAATTTTGGTCAGGTCTATTGGAAATTGATTGTATTAATTTTGAAGTCAATTGGACATAAAATTGGAAGGAAATATATCTATACAAGATAAACGTATTTGTCTGAGAAGTAATGGTCGCAGGTATCGGCTTCAACACAGGAGCACGCTTCCAGCTGAATACGCCAGCTTTGGTTGGTGAGTGAGCACCCACACATGAACTTTGACCCTTTGTTTTCCCCACTGGGACATTTGCTATGCAAAACATGTCAATCCAATTTCAATCAAAGTAAAATAGATATTGTACCAAATTGCACCCCTCCTCAGGGACCACTCGAAACCAGAAGAAAACTGCATTAACCTACCCAAACTGGACGACTGTTTTAAATGAATGATAATTAGAAGGGACCTCTGTCCATGTTTGAATCAAACTCCCATTTAAGTTGATCAATACCCTCTACAAGTGCTGATCCACAGGTTATTGGGGTCAGCAAACCCCATCATTGTTTTGGCCATTTATTGATTTCAATTTCATCACAATATACAATGCACTCAAACCATCGATCATAATATTGTCGTCCCTTTTCTTCACGATCCCCTGCCGATGCTCTACAAACAAACCCCAATACGGACTCTCAAATTGCCCAAACACTTGCGTAACCACATTCCCCTCCACACAAGTGGTCTGTAATATGTTTGGGCTATACTTCTGCTTCACCTATCACATTTTTTTCTCCATATCGTTAAAAATATTTATCAATTCAAGTACTGCTAAACAGTGTCCTTTAAGTCTGAAATATTTAAACCTTTGTATGTCAGATTTTTAAACTTGTGGATTTGAAATGTTCCATTTTTGCTTCTAAACTTAAAAAAAGGGGAGCATATTCATACATTTCAATATTACCACTAGATTATATTTACATATTAATTGGCTTTTTTGTTTCCTTATCAGGTTTCAACATGCCACAATAAAAATGATATTAAGGAATGTGATATTATTTGGATAAAATATCTGGCATTAACTCATTCTTTTGTCTGCTTTATATCTTAAAGGGGAAAATGAAGACATGCTAATAGATTTAATTCTGCTTAATTTCTATGTCTGATCTTGATGTAAATAAACTATCATTTCACAAAAACTACTGGTTATTAAGGAGTTAATGAAGGAACTAAGTATCAGCTCCCCATGTCTTTGTCGGCTTCTGTAACAACCGTACAAGTCTGGTCTGCAGATTCCACCAATCAGAAGATAGGCAAACTTTGCCGAGCCCCGACACCACACTTAGACCCTAACCTTTTCCCCCAAAAACGAATACTCAAATTGTCAACTTGATCAATTGATCTTAAAAAGTTTTAAGAATCTCCGCCTAATTATGGTAAAACTCTAAATGCTATAACACTGAGGAAGCCATTTTGGTGGCGGAACAGTCATTTTGTCAGCTTTTCTTGCTGATTTTGGACGCAATAGGTGGTGAGCGATGATAATAACAGGCACAACTGTCAGACTTTTTTGTGGTAATGAGGACTGTGTCACTAGACCCGTGATTTTCCTGTCCAGTCCGAAGGTGATTTACATCCTCTGTCCCACAGACCTCTACTTTACTGGGTCACATGATCGCACAAATGGCGGTATGCACAAGCGAAGTTGAGAAACTAGAGAATAACAGCGTAAAATTTCCTTGGAAAAAAATAATGGGCAAGTCATTCTGGCAAAGACCAGGGTCACCACGTTGATTTGGAATCCCTTAGGAAATTTAAATACTCAAGTAGATCTATGTTGAATAAGGCACCTCTAGATCAAAGTGTATTGTTGTAACATCCATAGTTTACCTTACAAGAAACTTTTGACCCATTATCATTAATCTTGTTTTAATTCAATAATTGAAAAAATATTTAGACCATTAAATGTGCCAATAACATTGTCTGTACTTGACTTCTTGTATTTCAACATAAACTGTTCATATTTACAAAGTAAACAATCTGTTCCAAAGTCAGATTATAGGGTGAAATCTTTTAAACAAATATTAGTGACCAGACTTGAAGTGGCCATCAATACCTAATTTGTCAATGTCGAGTGGTCATTCACTGGGACGGACAAAGCAGCTGGACAGGTACTGACCACCGAGACAAAGCTCTGGGTATGGGGTAGTGGCTTACAATGACCAGAGATACTGGTCACACTCAAACAGCTGATTGTGTCCATTGCCCCAAACGACTGGTCCTATTCATGTGTCATCTTCCAATAATTTCTATATAGTTCACAGATGGGCTATCCGCTGTGATTAAACCTGTCTAAATGATCAACCATTGGCGGGATTTTACGATAATCTAATAATGATTTCGGACACATTATGAAGTTCCAACAGTTCAGCATTACGATAATATCAATTGTCAAAATATCTCATTAAATTTTCTGTGAAATGAACACCCAAATGTCATAAAATTTTCGTGTTATCTAGAATTAGAAATAAGATTTCTTTATATAACATCCAGAAGAATGAAAATCTAAACACACACTGAATTTATCATACACGATATCTACTAGTTTTTGAATATTTCCTGTAGATAAGATCTAGTTCTAAATTAGACTTTGTTTAGAGTTAAAGAAAGGCGATATTACTGTTGTTTGCAGCAGATTTGATAATCAAAAGAGCCAGAAGGACCTGTTTGTGCTGGGCGGTATAATCTAGATTAGGATCCAAAACAGATATTAAGATATGACCCCCTTCTTTTCAGTGACCAAACACATCAATAAATGCTTTTTCGTTCTTTTTTTTCACTTTAAACAGTAATCAGATACAATTTATTGAGGTGACTGATAAAGACGAAAGTGAGATTGGATGATAGGCTATAATAATATGTTGGTGTCGTCTGCATTGTCACAGTGTAGGATCCTCCCCACAGGATGGACGTCTGCTCAGGACACCTAGTTACTGGTGTCGTGATGTTCATTAATGAAAGTATTAGCCTGGTGTTAGCCCTTTCCTACCACACACGCTATCCCCGACCATCTCCATTGTCACACAAAACAATGGAACAAATGCCGAAACATGGTAATTGTTACTTTTTAAGAAAACAAATCGACAAACAATGTTATCCTATCACTATCTAGACCTGGAAACAATAACAGATAATTTCCTAATGTTGGAAAATTGCTGGCAAATCATAACCCATAACGAAAGCAGTTGACATTAAATTAGTGTACATGCAAACTGCCATCTTTTCCACACTTTAAAATATTACCAACGAATCGAAATCAAGACTTCTCAAATAAACCACTGAAATATTACTTCATATTCGTTTATAGAATATATTTAAATATTTTTTGTGAATTTTGGGGAGGGAAAAGGGAGAGAATTTTCTCAAATATCATATGAAAGACAATTTGTATAATGTCGAAATTTTCTGGTTTAATCATCAAATGCAAATAGCATACTTGTAAGAGCTATATAAATTCCTGCTATCGTAATGCAATATCTGGAATTACAGAGAAAATTTTTATGTCTTTTTTCAACCATAAAAAAATCAGTTATTCACAAACCATTAATTTCTAAAATTTCTATATCGTTGTATTATTTCTATGTAGTGTCAAATATTCATCAAATTTCAACAACAAAATGTAAATTGTTTTTTCTCAAAAGGATTGTCTTGCCAACGAGGGTGTGACTGCCAGCGAAGGGATGTCAGTTACGACCGTTTACCGATGGACGTAACATGTTCTAAACAATATAAATCAAAACCAGAAACAATTATGACTGCTATGGGGGAGACATTATGTGTGTGTGTGAGCTGCAATGTGATTGGTTGGTGTACACCTATTGTTCGCATGTGTGAGTTCTTATTAACCTTTGTCCATCCCATTTGTCGGGGACGAAATCTCGCACCTTATGAGGTGGAAAATCAGCTGTTTCCTTCAAATGCGTGTCCTTGCATTTTCGTATGCTTCAACACCCATTGTTGGCTTTTCTAAATGACTCCATATGAACACACAGAGAGCATGAGCAGTGAAGCTAGTGTCAGATATTTGTTACAATGAAGAAATGTAAGTTTGCATGTACTGCTCATTTCCCGAGTGAGTTCAGTCCCCTGATTCTCCCTCCTTCCGAGGTCGACCCGTTAACCCTCTTCAAGACCCTATCAGTGCTGTTTCCAATCCCAATAATACCGTCCGGGATGGCGCGAGCCGCTCTCAGCGGAAGATGACATTTTCTTTATATGCTAATCATGCCGTTCTAGTAGCAGATTCATTTCACAGATAATACTCTTCTATCTGGAGATACAAAATAAATATTTCATATTTCATATTCTCTGTGCGACCAATATGAAATCCTTGATGATAGGGGATTTAGCCGTGATATGGTGATATAGTAAGGCCTGGCCAAACTGCGTGGATACGCAATGACATATCAACTACTTGTTAAAAAGGGGATTACACAAGGAATACACCGATATGAAAGCAAATTACATCAAAATTTCCATCCCTCATCCGCAGCCTCAGAACATTCATCATTTTCTGACATTTTTCATTATAAAAGTCTTGGTGAACAATCTGGAGTAATTACAGACCAATGTTATCACTCAGAAACTCGTATCTACTATAGGCTGCCTTTCCACTTTTTTAACATAATTTTTTAATTCATAATTCAGTGTAAATATGTTTATAAATGAATCTGGGCGATTACGACGGAACAGAAAGCAAATTAAGGTGTCATGACTGTTTAGCTTTGGTTGCTGATGTATCGCTGACATACTCTCCGTCTTATCTCCCGATCGGCTAAACTCAGACATATTGGTCCTGATAGTCACAAAGCTCTTGATGCTTATATAATGACTTTTCTTCTTTTCAAAAGATATTGTCATACTTGAGTTACATTTTTTTATGTTCTTTGTTGATTTTCCGAACATTTTTCTCCATTCAACTTTGTCAATATTTGTTCTGATTTATTTTAAACTCACCGTTAAATGCTGGAATAACCATGCTCGCATGATATTAGTTGCTACTTTTGGAAATATTCCCCGTTTTTTCTGTCGTTTTGAATTTGATCTGTCTCCATCAGCGTCTTCGTCAGCAGTTCCCTCCCCTGACCCTACACTGTTGTCCAACCCATCACCTGAAAGACATAAGATGATAAACAAAAATTAGCTAAAAGCAACACAGAACTTTAACGTTCCTGATCAAAGCTTGTGACATCTGTTGTACCTTCAAACAAAGGACATGCAAAGAGTATCATAAATATCTTACCTTACGTAGAAATTTTTATACAAGATATTTTATTTTGAAATGCACAAGATCAACTCCATTCAATCAAAAAAAAAACCCAAAAATTATAAATAATATACAGAAACCTTAATGGTGACCCGCTACAAGTAGGATCTCCTTCTGTAAACTAAAGTTATTTTGAATCGGCATTCTAATTCTTCATACATTTTTAACTTGCAATTTCTACCGGAACTAAATTCCTTGCAAGCATTGAATAAAGCCTTGTGTATGTGTTTAAATGTGTTTTGTATTATCATACATCTGAATGGAATGCTGTAAACCTGTCAATCTGGAAACAGAACCTCCGTTTTTCTGAAACTTTCTGTAGTAGTCCAAAACACCTTCAACCAAATTCAAGTGAAAAGAAAACAGTGATAAAATATTCAAATCTTCATGCTAAACTGATTTGAATAAATAAAAAAACGAAAAAGTTAATTTCATTTCAAATGATTTTGTCAAAAGATTGGCTGTATAGATATCAGGAGAAGCTAACAGTGCTGTGACGAAGGATAAGAACCAAAGTTACTGATGACACAAGACTCGACTGTACTGGCTTTCCTCACCTGAAGCTCCAGCTAAAATGAGCCTAATTTTGTGTGTGTTTGCTATAACCAGATAAAACACTGCTGGTCTGCTGTTAATCATTTACATGTGATTCGATACTTAAACAGGCCTAAATTGATCCCAGATCCGAATTTTCTATTTACGATATATAAGTAATTTTTATACAATTGAATACATAAATACCATCTTTACATTAACATTACAAAATGTAACTTTTTTATACTAATCAAAATATCAATTATTATGTAAATCTATCTGGATTTAAATATATTTTGTAAATGTCAGATGTTAGTAAATTACGGTGCATAGAAATACATTAGCACCATCGCCTTCTTAAGTATATATGTATCACACAATACATCAAGCCTGTCATTAACCCTGATCAGACCGACATTTAATTCCACGATTTAACAATTAAACCAACACCTAATTCGTACTTCCCAACCAAGGAATTCGTCATGTGAATAACAACACTAGCTATATCTATGCTAACAATAAGACCCTATAGAAATGGTTGACTTGGGTTTCTCATCCTATCTAATCTAGCTCCCTTGGGGCTCTCAGTGGTTACTTATAAGGGGTATGTTTTGAAATTCAGGACAGTCTCGGGTATAAATTACGATAGAAGGAACTCGATACCGCCTATAATAGTACAGTATATTCACCAAATCACTACCGATCGGTGATCAATGCTTCTATGACCCGTGAAATGCTGGGTGTCATTACCAGTCACCTAAACTCGCGTCTTCTTGTTACAACACGTTTGCGACAAAAAAAACCAAGCAATTCTTGAATGAAATACCGTCTGGTAACCAAACTGGATATTCAAATTAAAATCTAGTCAATCTCCATTTGTGATTTATATTTACAATTGAAAAAGCATTCTGAAAAGAAGTTAAAAACAAATAATGTATCCATTCAGATTTGCTTGCCTGCTGTGAATGGTTATAACAGGGAGTCTAACTGTACCATATAACCGGTGTAAATAAACACGTTATCAAATCCTTATAGTGAAACTAATCGTAAATAGATTTTTGAGGAAAAAAATCTAAGGATTTAAGTACAGACATACGTTAGTGAAAACGAAACTGCATTTTGAAGTTTGTAAGTTGATGTTTGTGTCATTGCACCCGAACAGGGTTCAAACTGGGGCCCTCTGATCTGTCTGCCAACACAATGGGCGCTGTGATGTAATTTAGAAGAGAGTTATTTTGATAAAAGTCGACAAGATTGTACCTCTGACCCTGTAGTGCCTTACTGAGGTGATGAACAACTCAAGTCGTGCTTGGATGCACTTGAGGGACTCGATGCTATGGTGATTGCAGTTGAAGAGCGAAAAGGTTATCAAATTAAATTCAGCAAAACTCACAAATTCAATTCGCACGATAATACTGGTATAACTATAAAAATCCTCGACCCTGTGCTATAACACCAGGAAAAGGCTGTTGAAATGCAAAAGTATTAGTCTATGACCAGCTCGAGCCTATATCATCTCGCTATGATATTAACTGAGGTCCCCCTTTCCTCCCCAATTACGCCAGGAGTGGCAGACCCACCTCTACAGCGACCACCATTATAGACGCGCAGCTTCTACTTGCTGCTTGTGGATAATGACATTTCTGAAAGGAAAGACTAGAGTACATTTCACAAATTTCATGACACTAATGCCAAAATTTTCTGATTCAATAACAATATTTCCCACATCAAGTCTGCAATTTAATTACCTCGGCTACGAGGCTATGAATGATCACAAATTAATAGGAATTCATTCCCAATCAAAGACAAATTGGATGAAAGACTTCATTGGGTCCCCTCTCAAATTTTCCTTGTAATCCAATAAAAACGGAAAGAATCTTACCCAAAATCTTGTAAAAGTGTTGAATGGCAAAAATAGAAAATGGCACAGGCGAAATCATATTAAATCATGCTACCGTTTTAAAAGCGGCCTATCACAACACAGAACATGGTATCTATCGAGACCTATTCCCCAGAAAGTTTTGTTTCTGAAATTGATAAGGTTAGATATTTTCAAACCAAATCAACAGTTATCTATATGGACTGAAGGCAGAGAAATATTCAATCATTCTGTACCATGTCAATAATTTATCAAATATATACCAGTCCATTATAATAGTTTGTGTCAAGGAAAACCCTTCCATTACTCCAGTTTGTATAACAGACATAAAAAAAAAAAAAAAAACCAAATCCCACAAATTCACTTTCCAAGGGTCTGTCCGACTCATTCTGCTTGTGTCCCAGTGGCAGACAACAGGGTCTTCCGTATTCATAGGTTTGAAAATCTTCTTGGTTAAATAATTACAATGGAGGACGATTTAAATGGGGAAGATAGAAAATGCGTTTAAGCAGAAAATATGTAAGCTTGATTAAAAGTTGGTGGCCCCCACCTAAACCCGGGATCGTCAATGTGGGAGCTCCGTGATTTCACAGAGATAAAAATTGTTATCATGGGTATGTAATTTCTTTAAGCAGGGAAATATGGCCGATTGTCAGAAATGATTTCCTAGCCCATCCATCAAAACTTGTCAGAGTGATATCACAAACCCGTACAGATCTACGGGAGTTCAGACTGAGATCCGTTCACTACTCAAAACCTATTAGTAAATTTGTTCTCTCCCGAACACTGCTACCTTCTAAAGCCATCAGCGAATTTCCATCAATACATTATCAAACCATTCTGGACATGTGCACATTTGAAATAGTTATGCTCATAATTATGTGTGCGTCAACATTTTTTAAAACATGAAATAGGATATCCCCTTGGCACTTTTCAGTTAAAATTACTTTTCAATGACATTTTCAAAAATCCTATCATTTTGTAGTATCTACTGGTAGTAAGAAACACCTTCAATATACTATCTACAAAAATGAATCCTAACTCTACCAATTAAAAGCCATTTCCAAAATATCTTTTTAAAAATTAGTAATATCTATAAATCCTATGATTGAACTCCAATTTACACATGATAAAATTATCACAAAAAATACAAAATGTAACAAAATTCAAAACTCACTTATTTTATTTTTTAGAATGGTAACATATCAAAAATATTAATTAAGCTTACAGTAGGCCTTCTACACAGATAACACATTTATCACACATTATTCTAACAATCTTTTGTGATATTGCTGAAACATTTCACAATGTCAAACTGACAAACTAGAATTAAAACAAAGTGATTAACAACCAAATTAAAACGCATTAAGGTACAAACCAAGCATTTTTCCTAGAATTTTTCGTGACATGTTGGTAGAGTCCGTGTCTGTCCACATGCGAGTACTACAGTCCACTGCTGCAGTAGTTATGCAGATGTTACACAAAACACACAGATAATGACTGTGTTTAGGGTATACTGAAGGTTTTGTGGCTCAGTCAGCCCCAGGGTGGCTGGTGACAGTTCAACAAGATGAGTGACCAGTCTATCTGCTGTCAATACCAGGCCTTCTCTATAACACAATAGGATGGGTACTGTCTCGCAGCACTACAGAAAACACCCTCAGGACAGTATTGCCACTTACCGACACATAACAAATGACATGTCATACTGCTCTACTGTCAACACTCATAAAAACTTTTCTAGCTCCAACCTTATGTATTATTACATACGAATTACACATGCTACACACTAGCTTTTATATTTCATATCTGGTGCTTAATTGTTCTGAAGATACATAATTCTCCCTCGACTTGTCACGACCATATGACAGGTCTCCACTGACAAATTAATTACCTTCATTTAAAACTCCACAACATACCAAGCTCCTACTGGCCCTGTTTGTATAAATTCATATATCATGACTTATAATTAAGTCAGCGACCATTTCCTTAATTTTTTTTCTTATCTGTATAAATGTTAACATTTTGCATATGTTCCAAACATGTGTATATATCTATTTAAAAATTATGTAAAACATGTTTCTCTTCATTGTGAATACATGAATTATTTTAATAATGTAATCAAATGAAGATTTCTACAAAAATGTAATGTAAGAAGTATGAAAATGTACATCCACACCTCATATTTTTTTCAGAATGTAAAATTTGTTTTCTCTCCCCTTGTCAATTTGGAAAAAAATGTAAACATGTCAAAATTGATTGTATATATATATTTGTGTGAGAAAGCAGACATAATTCACAATCCTGTTCCATGTCAAAACACTATTCTCCATTGTACAAGTTTACAACACCACCTTCCATCTGTCAATACTTACGAAGAAATTCCAATACAACTTAATCAATTGGACAGAGAAAAAAGCTGGCCAGGATGT